CCCTGCCATCCATCGCCGTTCACAGTCGCTCAGGGAAGGGAAACTGCAAGATTAGTTTTAAAATCTCACAGTTTTCCTTCCCTGGGTGACTGCGAACGGCAATGGATGGCAGGGGAATGAGGTGAGTATGGCTACGCCCAGCAATTCTTGACGGCCACTGGGGGCGTGGCCTTCAGGAAGAGCTGGGCATAGCCACGTCCACCTCGCCCTTCTGCATCGCCGCTTGTCGCCAGGGAGGCCAGGGAAACTGCGAGATTGTAAAGTTTGCACCAGACATCAGAAAATAATTCCAAAAAATGGGTAAATTGTTTCAATTCGTAATTATTCCTCACACTATTCCAGCATGGCTCGAAATTGTTTCAAAAGTCATTTTAATATGAATTCATTCCGATTTTAGAAGCTTCCGAACCAGATCAACCAAGCCGAATATGTATACATGTTCCTGATTCTTGACATCCTCTCCAACAATTTTTTGAATAATTTTTATTTACATGTGCTATTCTTACTGGTGTTAGGTACCATTTCCATATTAACTTGTAATAATTTTATTTAATCCGTATTGATAAGTTTTTTAGATGTCTTTGTCTCCATAATTGTTGCCACTGTTTCATTTATTTTTATCCCTAAATCTTCTTCTCAGACCTCCTTGAGGGTGTTATTTTATGTTTTTCCTTCCTTTATTTCAATTATTATCTTATATATTTTACTAGTTATTCCTTTTAAATTTTCATACTCCTCTACAACCCTTCCATTTTGTATTATTTGTTCAAATTGGTTAAGCTTACTTCCGTTTTTCCCCAATTTTTAAACCACTGTTCTAATTGTATATAATGGAACCATGTCAATTTATTTCTTTAAATTCTTCCATAATCGTTTCCTTCTTCATTCAGACCTTTGTCCAATCCCCTATTTTGTCTAAATTTTTCCCTTAACTTTTTATCCATTACTTTAAAAAAATTGGAAATTTCTTTTTCATTACAAATGGGGTTATTACTGAACCCTCCGTTATTAACATTCTCCTATATTTGTTCAACACTTCTAATGTATTGTTCAACATTGGGTTTCTAATTTCCCTAATTTCTTTTCTCATAAACTGTTTAAAACATATATTCCAAATTTCTTCCTCCACTTCTTCCGAATCCTTTCTTAGCCAATCTACTCCTTTTTCTCATTCCTTCTATAACCAATCTTAATCTACTCGCTTCATAATATTTTTTGATATTAGGGAGTGCTAATCCTCTCTCTTTTTGCGATCTGTACCATAACTGTTTGTTTAATCTATTTCTTTTACTACTATTACAATATTTATTTATCATTTGTTGCCATCTATTTAGCTCTTCTTCTGTAATTTGAAGTGGCAGCATCCTAAATATAAAATTTATCTTTGGAAGTATTTTCATTTTTACTAATGCTATCTTTCCAAACCAAGATAAATGTATATTTTCATATTCTATTAATGTTTTGTGAACAACTTTTCTCTTCCATTTCTTTTAAATCCTTTGTTATTATTACTCCCAGGTATTTAAATTTATTCTTAATTCTAATTCCCATTTTGCTCCGTTCTATAAAGTCTTTTTCTTCTTTCTTTGTATAATTAAATAGCATCATTTCTGACTTGTTCCAGTTAATTTGTAGACCTGTTATTTTCCCAAAATCTCTAAACGATCTCTTATTTTATCCATTTTACTTATTATATTTTCAATAAATAACAATGTATCATCTGCAAATAAACTCACCTTCTGCTTTTCCTTTATTCCTAGCCCTTCTAAGTTCTTATCTTTCCTAATGGCATTTGCAAATAATTCTATCACCATAGCAAAAAAAATTGGTGATAGAGGACAACCTTGTCTTGTTCCCCTTGTCACTTTTATTTCTTTTCTCACTTCTGCTGAATTTCTTGAATAATATTGTTCTAATCCTTTTATTTTACTTCCCATTCCAAATTTATTCATAATCTCCCTTAATGTCCCCCATTCCACACAATCAAAAGCTTTAAAATGTCTAATGATAATATCCCTACTTTTATCTTCCTCTCTTGAACCACACAAATTTTATTTAATACTCTCCCTATCAAATTTGACATTTGTTGTCTTTTTACAAACCCACACTGATCTTTTTTTAATATACTTGTACATGCATTTACTCATTCTATTGGCTATTATAGCAGATAAAATCTTTGCATCCTGATTAACTAATGATATGGGCCTATATGACCCTGTGTCTGTTAAATCTTTATCAGGTTTTGGTATTAATATTATTAATGACTTCCTCCATGATTCTGGCATCTTATGTCCTTTCATTATTCCATTATACAGTTCTAATAATTTTGGATTCAATACTTCTCTAAAGCTTTTATAATATTCTGTTCCCAGTCTGTCCAAACCTGGAGCTTTCCCAGCTTTTAAATTCTTAATAACTTCCTCTATTTTTGTCTTCTTAATAGGTTGTTCCAATAATTCTTTGTCTTTCTCTTCCAACCTACTCTCCCAATTTTCCTCCACATATTTCCTAATTGCTTCTATGGAGCTAGCTTTTGTTTGGTATAATTCATTGTAAAACTCTTTGAAAACCTTCAATTTTTCTTTCATAGATCTACATATATTACCTGTTTTATCTTTTATCATGCTTATTATACCTTCCATTTTCTTTTTTTGTGTGGATTTAGCTAACATCTTTGAATTCCTATCACTAAACTCAAAAATTCCCTCCTTAAATATATTACATTTTTTTGTACTTCATCTATTTCTATTTTATCCAATTCGTCTTTTTTTGCTGTCAACCTTACATAAATGTGTATATCTCTCTTTATTACATATTCTTTTTCAAGCTCCTCCATTTCTTTTTCTAGATTCCTTTTCCTTTCTTCTTGCCTTTTTTAAAGATTAATTGTCTCTTTTATACATAACCCTCTCACCACTGCTTTCATTGTGTCCCATAGCACTCCTTTTGATACATCCTTTTCATTAAATCCCCAAATTTCTTGCCATTCACATCCGCCACAACTACCCCTGGGCCCACCTCCCTGCCAGCGTCAAGCAGGGTCTTGGAAACTCACAGCAAGAGTTGTGGGGAAAACAGGAGGAGGAAGACTGGGGGTTAGGGTTAGGGTTAGGGTTAGGGTTATCCACAATCTCTCTATAATTCAAAATTTTTGTGTTCAATCTCCACCTCCTCATTTTATCATAATCACATTTCAAGGCAATCTCAATTGACACCAGGGCATGATACGAAATCTTAATAATTCCAATATCAGCATTTAACAATTTACTTAACATATTTTAGAAACAAAAATATAATCTATTCTTGCATACACTTTATATACAGCTGAGTAGTATGTGTATTTTTTCATCTCCCTTTACCAATCTCCACACATCCTTTAATTGCCATTTATTCATCGCTCTACTTAAGTCCATTGTTTCAATATTTCTAATTTTTTACATTTGGGTAGTTTTATCTTTTTTTTTTTTTGGTCCATATAACAATTACAGTCCCCTCCAAATATTACATATTGTTGGTGATAATTCTCTATCTGACCTAGTACTTTTTCATAAAATTCTTGCTGTTTTACATTTGGTGTGTATACATTTACTAATACATATTTATCCTCCCCCATTTCACCATACATTATTATATATCTACCTTCCTCATCTTTTGATACCTTCTTTATTACAAAGTTACATTTCTTTGGCTTCATTGAGTATCTCCAGTTTTTAGTTTCAGGGCAGTAATCATTGAATGTTTCCAGCATTACTTCTCCCATCTTCAAATATTCTGGATTCTTCCTCAGTATTTTCATCAGATCTTCTTTTTTAGCAAAGTTATGAACTCGAGTTATTATGTTCCTAGGTGTTATTTTATTTCTTCCAGCTGGAAGACGATGAACTCATTCTGGATCCATTTCTGTCCAATTTAACATTGGTGTTGTTTTTTTTTGCAAACATTTCAAAATTTCAGTTTTCAAATCTTCTTTTCTGTTACCTTCTGGGAAGTTTTTAATCATAACGTTATTCCTTCTCTGGTTATCTTGCATATACTAGGCTTGGGCGGTTTCGTTCGTTAATTTTGTAATTCGTTAAATATTCGTTATTTTTAGCAATTACAAAACGNCCTCAATCAATGGCTGATACCAAATGAGAGACTCCCCCCTGGGCACACAGAGGACTGAGCGACTTGGAAGGCATTGAACAGACTGCGCTCTGGCACCACGAGATGCAGAGCCAACCTTGAGAAATGGGGCCACAAAGTGGAATCCTCGACATGTGAGTGTGGAGAAGAGCAAACCACAGACCACCTGCTGCAATGCAACCTGAGCTCTGCCACATGCACAATGGAGGGCCTTCTTGCAGCAACACCAGAGGCACTCCAAGTGGCCAGATACTGGTCAAAGGACATTTAATCAACTACCAAACTCACACATTTTGTATTTTGTCTGTTTGTTTGCTTTGTTCTGTTAGAAATGTAATATAATTTGACTGGTTGTCCTGACACGACAAATAAAAAACAAATAAATAGGGTCCATTGTTCTATTGTGGGTATTTCTTTCGTCTTCCATACTTGTTTTCTGCTTCCCTGGAGAATAGGACGTGGAACAATGGCTTCAAACTACAAGAGAGGAGATTCCATCTGAACATGAGGAAGAACTTCCTGACTGTGAGAGCCGTTCTCTGCCCCGGAGTGTGGTGGAGGCTCCTTCTTTGGAAGCTTTTAAACAGGGGCTGGATGGCCATCTGTCAGGGGTGATTTGAATGCAATATTCCTGCTTCTTGGCAGGGGGTTGGACTGGATAGCCCATGAGGTCTCTTCCAACTCTTATGTTTCATACAGGACTCTGTTTCTGCCAGAAACCATTTAGAGAGGGAAAGAAACCCGGCTTGGGGCCTCTTCTCGGCCTACTCTACTTGCCTCCTGCCCTCTCCTCCTACTCCTGAGGGGAGCCGGAAATCTTTGTTTAAAAATAAATCCCATGAAGCTTTGGGAGCGGAAAGAGAAGGGCACTTCCGGCGGAAGCAGGAGCCGGTGGCAGGGCTGGGCCGCAGAAAGAGGCAGGCCGGGAGGCATGGCGGCGATGTTGCTGCAGGGCGGCCTCTGGGCCGAGGAGGCGCCGCCGGAGAGCCGCATCTTCGCCGCGGTGCTGCTCTTCTCGTGGGCCGTCTACCTCTGGGAAGCGCTGCTCGCCCGGCGGCAGGTCAGCCCCGCCATCAGGCGCCTCCCTCCCTTTCCCCCCGAGAGGGCTGAGCCTGACGGCAGGCCTCAGGCTGTCAAATAGGCCCATTCCCTCCTCTAAGTGTTCTGGGCCTCCGCTGACTGCCACGGCAGGGCTTTCCTGGGCTATAATAGGGATTCTCTGCGGAGCTGCTACTTCATCACACTCGAGAATGAATCCACTTTAAATCTGGTTGCTCCCTCCTGCAGAATTCTGGGGTTTGTAGTTTAGGGAGGAGCCTTTTACAACCTCACTGAACTACAAACCCCATAATTCTGCAGGAGGAAGAAGTCAGATTTAAAGTGAATTCATTCTCGAGTGTGATGAGGTCCCTAGTCTCCAGGGCAAGCAGAAAACAAGTTTTCTCCCTCTTCCCTATGACTTTCCCTCACATATTTATACATGGTCATGATGTCTCCTCTCAGCCTTCTCTTCTTCAGGGTAAACATGCCTAGCTCTTTAAGCCGCTCCTCATAGGGCTTGTTCTCCAGACTCTTGATCATTTTAGTTGCCCTCCTCTGGATACATTCCATCTTGTCAACATCTCCCTTCAATTGTGGTGCTCAGAATTGGACACAGTGTGATTCCAGGTGTGGTCTAAACCAAGGCAGAATAGAGGGGTAGCACGACTTCCCTGGTTCTAGACCAGGGGTCCTCAAACTAAGGCCTGAGGGCCGGATACGACCCTCCAAGGTCATTTACCTGGCCCTCGCTCAGGGTCAACATAAGTCTGAAACGACTTGAAAACACACAACAACAACAATCCTATCTCATCAGCCAAAAGCAAGCACACACTTCCCATTGAAATACTCATAACTTTATATTTGTTAAAATTGTTTTTCATTTTAATTATTGTATTGATATTAAGGGGTTTTTTTGCACTACAGATAAGATATGTGCAGTGTGCATAGAAAATCATTTATGATTTTTTCAAATTATAATCCAGCCCTGCAACAGTTTGAGGGATTGTGACCTGGCCCTCTGTTTAAAAAGTTTGAGGCCCCCTGTCCCAGAATATCAAGGCAGACAATCCCACAATATCTGCTTTGAACTAGAATATATGGCAGTGTGGACTCAGATAACCCAGGGCCCTTCCACACAGCCCTATATCCCAGAATATCAAGGCCAAAAAGCCCACAATATCTGCTTTGAACTGGAATATATGGCAGTGTGGACTCAGATAACCCAGGGTCCTTCCACACAGATCTATATCCCAGAATATCAAGGCCAAAAATCCCACAATAACTGCTTTGAACTGGGTTATCTGAGTCCACATTCAGATAATGTGGGATTTTCTGCTTTGATGTTCTGGGATATAGGGCTCTGTGGAAGGGCACGTTCTCAACCTGTGGGTCCCCAGATATTTTGGCCTACAACTCCCAGAAATCCCAGCCAGTTTACCAGCTATTAAATTTTCTAAAAGTTGGAGGTCAAAATATCTGGGGGTCCACAGATCGAGGACCACTGCTCTAGTGTGATGAGCCCTGTGGTCATCTTCAAAGCATCAGTAACAAGTTCAAGACAGAGACATCCTGAAACTCACTCCTAGACCAGCCTGGCCGAGACCTTATTCATTCTAATCCAAACTTGGGCCCTCCAGGTGTTATGGACTGAACTGTCACAATTCCTCACAGCCTCAGGCCCTTTCCTTTCCCTCCTCAGCTGCTTAAGGAAAAGGAGGGGGCCTGAGGCTGTGAGGAACTGTGGGAGTTGAAGTTCAAAACACCTGGAGGGCCCAAGTTTTCCCATGCCTGTTCTAGCTGCTTTCAGGAATGTGTGGGGCAGGTTTCATGTCCAAAGGAGCATGCAGAAGAGTGATTGTTTTGTTTAATACAGGCAGTCCCCACATCATGAACAAGATAGGTTCTGTTGGTTTGTTCTTAAATTGAATTTGTATGTAAGTCAGAAAAGGTACAATTTTTCAGTGTAACTTCAGCTATCTATCTATCTCTGGATAGTATAAGGAAAAGTTTACACCCTTGTGGTGTTTATTTTGCTACCTGTGCCCCTGTTCAGAAGATTTCACCTTACTTTCTGTCCTTGTGAAAATTGGATTTTGAAAAATGTGGCTTGTTCTGGAAACAAGGATTGGTGCTAAAGCTTCAGTGGAGATCCCATGCCCTTTCACACAGCCATATAACCCAGAATATCAAGGCAGATAATCCACAATATCTATGTTGCACTGGGTTATCTAAAGGCCCTTCCACACAGTCAAATAACCCAGAATATCTGCTTTGAATTGGGTTATCTGAGTCCACACTGCCATATATTCCAGTTCAAAGCAGATAATGATGGATTTTATTCAGCTGTGTGGAATTGCCCCCATTTTCCCCATGAAAACTCTTTCAGGGTTGAATTTCCCATCTGAGGGATTTCTCTCACTTTCTGTTGTCTCAGCCCTTTTCTTAACTATGAGTCATTTGTAAATCAGATATGTGTAACAACATTTCTCCTAAAAATTGGAGTGTGAAACTTGTCATATAATCACCCCTATCATTTAAACAAAGAGCATGACAAAACATCCATGGGGTGGGATTTAAAGTGACATTCTACAATAGAAAGGGGTAATTTGGAGATTTACAAAAATAAGGAATGCCAATGGATTTTTTGACTTGACTGAGCTACAATAGACTTTTCCTGTTGTAACTATTTCCCATGTAAATTAATGGTAGTTTTAATTTGAGGGACGCACAGGAGTGAAAATAAAACAAAATAAGCTGTGTTGTTCTATAAGAAAAAATTAAAATAGATGGATTGTTAGAATCAACTCAAACTGTATACAGTTGAGAAACCAAACATTTGAGATCTTCAGATCTTTTCATCAGGAAACATGTATGCAAACGGGTGGGGGTGTTCTAATGTTGGGGGTGGGTTGCCAGGTGCCTTTTATTAAAATGTATGTCACTTGTTAGAGGGGCTTGTGCCTTTTTACGATTCACATCTCCTATGTGTTCATAAAACAAAAAAGTCTGCATCAAACACTTTATGAATGTAGAAAATGTGTTAATTTTACACAGAGATGCATAACTGAAATCAATACTTTCATTAGGTATTTAGGTAGAACACAAACTTGTAACTACTTCCTGATTATGAACTGTGCGTGTCATGAATTTCAACTGTCTTTTAGTTCTATTTTGAAAACCTGGCAGCGTTACGTTGAGATCATGAAGTGCATAACCACAAAGAGGAAGTGATGGAGTCTTAAATGCCTTGGGCTCAACCAGGTGTTTTAAAGCTTTCGTGTTACACATAGATTGGGTCAAAATAAGACAGTCATAGTTGTTGTCCTCACTTTTGAAATTATCAAATAAATTGTTAGTGGGATTTCTCTCTAGCACACAGGGTTTTTAGTAGGCGGAGGAATAGTGTAGAAGGCTTTGTATTAATAAGGGAAGTCACCCTCGGAAAATAAAGTTCCTCTTTTGATGATACATATTCCTTTTCTTCCAGCTATTCAACATTTTAACATAAAGCCAAGTGTTTGGCAGGGGGTTGGACTAGATGGCCAATGTGGTCCCTTCCAATTCTATGATTCTATCTATGTTGCTTCATAAGAAAAATGTACAAAGTGGGAGGGACAAAGGGAAACCATTGATTAGATATTGCAGTCATGAAGAATGCGTATTAATTAGCACTGCTACTTTTTCTCACTGAAACAAAGAGCAGTGGTGGAATAAGGGAAATACAGTTGGCAGTGCTTTGAGGAGGCATTGTGTGTTTGATGTCCAAGGAGAGCTAGGAAATCATGCTGGGTACTTCAAAAACTTCTCTCGTTAAATCTTTTCCACTTGTGGCCTGATCCAGATTTTTGAAGCCTATTGTTTCCAGCCTTTCTGCTCCCTTTTCCTTTTTAAAAATTATGTCTTTGCCAGCCATGATAGAATTTTTTTATTTTCCAAATATTTCACAATTTCCCTAAAGGTTCATGTGTTAAATGTCTAGTGTCTGCAGAAGTTGCATGTAATGTTTCAAATATTACTGCTGTGTTTCAGAGGACTGTGTATAAGACAACCACCCATGTTCCACTGGAGTTGGGTCCAATTATGGACTCAGAAACATTTGAAAAATCCCGCCTTTATCAACTGGATAAAAGTGCTTTCAGCTTTTGGTCAGGCCTATACTCAGAAATTGAGGGCACAGTAAGTATCTTTTGTTTTTTGTACATTTTCTAGCAATTCAGAACATAAAGAAGTTTCCTTTTTATGTAAATTTTCTACTGCCCTGGTAAAAATATTCCAAGGATGACTCTAGTCCTGGGACAGAAATTAGGAATGAGTTTCAACTACTAGAGCTTGGAAAAAAAATAGTATTTTGCGCTAAAATTCCCATAATCTGCCAACATGTTCATTACAGCATTTTTCCTGTGTTGTTCCTTCTGTTTTGTGTGAGTGATGCCTAATATTAAAAATCTTTCTCTTGTCACCCTGATTTTTCCCCCTTGTTCACTGGGTTTTCACCTCTTTAGTCAGGGATTGCTCTGGCTTTTTTTTTAAAAAAATGTCAGTCAAACTATTTGCTTTTCTCTGGTGTCTAAAGGAAAGAACAACAACCAGGCATTGCTTCATTGAGCTTTGGCCCCAGTGTTGTTGAAGGTATTAGCAGTCTGATCCCTACAGTGTTTTTGTTTTTATAGGTGATACTTCTCTGTGGAGGAATTCCATTCCTTTGGTCTCTCTCAGGCGATATTTCCAGCCGTGCTGGCTTTGGGTCCGAGTATGAGGTAAGTGCATTTGTTTGTATTACTTGAACACTGAAATATTCACTTCCCTGTCTTTAAATGTTGGCTTTAATCTGATTCATGAGACCTCTTTTTATCTTCTTATATTCATTTAATCCTGTATCCCCATTCTGACAGTGGCCAGCCATATGGCTCCAGGATACCCAAAAGCAACAAATGTAGCAAATGAATCATGGATATTTATTTTTCTGGAACATTAGAATGAATCATATAATTGGAAGGGACTGCAATAGTCATCTAGTCCAGTGGTTCGCAACCATTGGTCCTCCAGGTGTTTTGGGTTTCAGCTCCCACAATTCCTAACAGCTAGTAAGTTGTTGAAGTCCAAAACACCTGGAGGACCAACCACTGATTTAGTCCATAATATACAGCTAAAGTATTCCTATAAATGGACATCCAACATCTGTTAAAATACCTCTAATGAAGGAGAATCTATAACTTCATGGTACTCTATTCCTTTGTGGAATGGTTCGTGCCATCAGGACCTTTTTTCCTAATGTGATAAAAAATATCTTTCATTACAGTTTGAATCCATTCGTTGATTCCCCCAGTTTCTACAGGAAACTAACTTGCTATATCTTTTACATGGAATGGGCAAATTCTTGATCCTGTTGGACATGTAAAAAGATTTTATAGAAAAGGTTTAGATCACTCCTGAGATTTTAAAATAATTTTTCTCTGCATCAGAGACAGAGGCCCACAAAGGTATCCAAGCCAGCCCAGCCCCCATAGGTTTGCTTGAAGAGATTCCTCATTATACCTGATAGCCAGAGATAATGGGAATTCCCCTTCTGGCTTAATTGCCCTCCCTTCTCTGTGTGGGTAAGAGGACGGAGGTAGCTAAGATAGCCATGTTATCAGTTAGCCTTTGCAAGTTTGAGCCAACACGCTTTGCTCCCTCTCCTCTTTCCCAATTCAAGAAAAAGGAAGAAGTTCTCAGCTGAGATACACAAGGTCTCAAACCACTTGTTTGAGCAACATCTTGCACAAGATTCTATCCCATGCTATATTATTGAGCTTCTGTAGTAGTCCTCATGCAGTGCAAGATTTTCCACCAGTGAAGAATAACCTTTATTTTCATTTCATATGTCTCATCAGAATTATGTATCACTGGAAGTTTCTTATTGCCAGACTGGAAACAAATATCACATATGAGTCCAGTTTGGACTACGATGAAATTAATAAATACTTAAGGCTATCCTATCTCATATCTAAATTATGGTGCCAAGACATAGAAACATTAGAAGGCAGACCAGCCCTGGTTTTTATGTGGCAGGTCATGTGATCTCCATTCTGTATTGGAGAATAAATGCACTGTCTGAGCATGTTCTCCAAGGTACCCAGCACACCGATGCACCGTGTACTTTGAGGTTCTAATGAAAATTAAATTGATCATACAAAACTCAAATCCGATGCCACCAATGTAATGACATCCATGAGTTTGTCTTAACAAATTACATTAATTTCAATGGATCTGCTGTAAATATTAATGAGTTTGTAACCAGATGTGTGTCTAAATTGGAATATTACCCCTCTTGCCTTGTACACAGATTGTTCAGTCATTGGTCTTCTTGTTGCTTGCTACACTCTTCAGTGCGGTCACAGGTCTGCCTTGGAGTCTCTACAATACTTTTGTCATTGAGGAAAAACATGGTTTCAATCAACAGGTATGATGTAGTACTTCTTTGTTGCCATATTAATACTAATATTCCTCCCATGTTATCTTTTTTGTGTTATGCCACATTTTGTAGTCTGGCAAAGGTGTTGCATTACCAACATTGCCATTGGTTTGGTGTTGCATTACCAACATTGCCATTGGTTTAATCCCTGTCCGCATTTCCACTGTCTCTTGTCATTTTCTTTTTCTTCCTAGTGTTTATTACAGTGTTCATTCTGACTTTCCCTATGATCATTCTTCATACTATTATTAGGCAGCAGCTATTATTAGGCAGCAGACACTTTGGCACTTTAGTTGTGATTTGAAGGCAGCTAGTTTTAACTCCAGATGGTCTGTGTTTTAAACTGTGTTTTTATTTTATTTGGTGTGTTAATAGTGGTTGTTTTTATCACTTTTATGTGATATTGTTTTTATATTCATGTACCATTTATGTTATATACTACACTTGTAGAGCCTTATAAGCCGGCCAGGTCTCTTTTGGGAGATGGTGGCGGGATATAAATAAAGAGTATTATTATACTGACAAAAACACAGTATATCACAGCAAACGAGATCTATATGCTGGATTTCGTATCACAAAATCGAAGTCGAACACTTCCCAAGCGTCTAGGACTGTGTGATTTATTATTATTATTTTATTTTATTTCTCTGTGAACTGTTGGATGCATTTGAGGACACTGCAGAGGAAAAGACCAAATAAAGTTGCCTTTTACCCAGTGAAGAAAATAATTTCCTAGACCTACCTTCCCTTTTGTCTTTCACTGCAAGGGAAGATTTAGAACCTGGTGGCTGAAAACGGTGCGTCATCTACAGGCAGTTGCTAGTGAATTGAAACAATTCATTTAAAAAACAAATTTACTCTGGAGTTGCAAGTTCACCATTACACATGCTAATTGGTAGGTTTTTACAGCTGTAAAGGTGCAACAAACATATTCAAACTCATTTATTGTAGAAATACCATCTTTCAAGGGTGTGGTCTATGTTTTCTTTCTTTCTTTTTCCACTGCTTCAGGTCTAGCGGATCATTCAAAATTGTCATTTTTAATTAATAAAAAACATTTCCCCATAATCTGTCTAAATTCATTATCAAATAAGTCTTTTGAAGTGTGTAGCTTTGTAGCTGTTAGCGTGGGATAATTCCATTGGATAGAAACAGGCAGCAATATTGCATCATGCCACTGAATTGTTCATATTTGCTTCTTCCATTCAGGTTTCTGTCCATTTTTTATCATTACATTCAGACAGAAATTTCTATTGGTTGCTTTCTTAACAAGCCAGAATCATAAATCAAAATAAGCCTTCCATTATATAGGTTGTAATTTATGATTAGGTTTAACCAAGTTCCATATAGTGAACAATTTTGTATCTGTGGAGTGTCAGAGGTAGAAGATATTCACACATGTACTGTTTAATTGTAACTTGTACAAGAAAGAGAGAAACCAATACCTCGGGTCATACATTATACAAAAGACACACTGAAATCCATATATTAAAATTACATTTTTATTGGCTGGCCAGAATGCTAAAATAACACATAAAATGGCCCCCTTTTTATTTAAAGCAACAACAGCTAAGAGCTGCATATTTAGAGTCGATTGGGGTAAACTGTAGAGGTGATGCAGATATTTCATCTGCATCAGGACCCTGTTAACAGCTTGTTTATTTTAATGTATGTTGTACTGTGGGGTGTATGCTCTATATGCATGTGTTTGTCAAATGTTTTTGATATGGCCAATAGGCTAATCAATAAAACATACTACTAAGTCAGGGTACTTATTCAGATATAACGGCATCCAAGCAATATATGGTGCTTTCTTGCTTTGTTTGTTTCCTCCGTCTCTTTGGCAAGAGGAATCAAGCAGGGGCCATAAAGCAACTGTCATTGCAACCTAGCCACTTTGTATAGTTAGCATCAGATGGTTTGTCTTAAAAGTCTTTTATTTTTCAGACTCTGGGATTCTTTTTTAAAGATGCAATCAAGAAATTCATTGTGACTCAGTGCATTCTTTTGCCAGTGACAGCACTTCTACTTTACATCATAAAAATAGGTGGAGATTATTTCTTCATTTATGCATGGCTCTTCACTTTAGTTGTTTCTTTGGTGAGTATTCTGAATGTGTCTAGAATCATTTGATGGGCAGCTATTAAATGTTGGTGATGAGCTTGAATCAGTCCCTAAATCATTTTTACTGCTGATCCATGCACTAGCTATGATTTTCTTTCCAACTTGTAAGAAAGGAATATGGCTGACTCTATCATGCAAACACGGTCATTTTTTTCTAAATTATGGTTGGGAATGCCAGGATTCTCTCCTTAGGATCTGCCATAGTATAAAATGTGTGGCATGGGACTACTATATATCATGACAATGTTACATATATATTATTTCTTAAGATGTATTATACCTGCTCTAGCAAATTTGTATATTTCATACTAAGTAGTAGATTGGAATTTGAATAGGCAGTAGCATATTGTAGTTTGTGGGTATCAATTAGCACAAAAAACCTGGCAGATAAGCGGGGGGGGGGGGGGGGGGAGTCTGGGAGGATGTAGAACTGGGAATCGGCCGTTTCTCATGTGGACAAGTGATGTAACGTTTAGATTTTTTAGCCGATTTCTTGAAGATAATGAAAAGTGCAACAGAGGAGTGCTGTGGGCGAACTATGACACACATTATGTTTGAATGCTAGCTCTGTATAGTGGGAGCATTTAACAGGAAGCTTTAGTCCTAGCAGTGAAGACTTTGGCCCCTGGATGTTTTAGATTTCATCATCTAGGATGTTAACCAAAATATATGATCAGAAAGATAAATTGCTTGACCCAAGGGAGAAAAGCTTGGACCTAAGGTGTCTCTGTTTGTGTCCCACAATAGGTTCTTGTCACAATCTATGCAGACTACATTGCTCCATTGTTTGATAAATTCATTCCACTCCCTGAAGGCGAACTCAAACAGCAGATTGAAGCAATGGCGCAGAACATAGATTTTCCTTTGACAAAAGTGTACGTTGTAGAAGGTGAGAGTTAAAAGCATAGCCTTGTCTTTGTAGTTCTCTAATACTCTGTATGATCATAGCGGTGGTTCTGTGTATATATTCTGTTGAGGATTGAACTTTAGCCAATGGCCCTGGAAACATGGTGAACCCTTAAACAAGTGACCAGGAGCACTGTATTTATTAGTAGAAATACCATAACCTTCACGAGAATTAGAAAGCCCTTAGTCCCCACCACTGGGCTCACTGTGTTTCCCTCTTCCCATATTATTGAAATTTGATGTACCTCTGCTTTAAAAATGAAATGTGAATCTCTTTATTTCCAAACCTGCATCATACAAACACCCATGCCATAGAGTAGATGAAAGAAGGAGGAAATTTGTGGGTTCATAATCCTTAGGGATGCAGTTATGGGGGAGAGGTCTTCTGAAGGGTTCCATGACCAAAAAGTATGGGAACCACTGCTCTAGAGACTTAAACATCTAACTTGATGTACTTTCTGCCGCTTCAGGGAGAAGGCAAGGGATTATACAGAAGGGTACAGACAAAGATAATTTATTCAACTCCCCTTATGAGCCAAATAGAACTGTTAAGATCTTCTGGGGAGACCCTGCTCTTGGTCCCACCTCCATTTAAGGCGCGATTGGGGGAACGAGAGACAGGGCCTTCTCAGTGGTAACCCCTCAGCTGTGAAACTCCTTCCCCAGTGACATCAGGCTAGCCCCATCTCTCCTAGTTTTTAGAAAAAAAGCTAAAGACCCGGCTCTGTACGCAGGTGTTTGGAGAGTAGGATAACACGGAATGAGACCTCAACAATTTGAATGACTATGGGTAAATATATAAGCATGGAAATCAAGACTTGGCAGTTCTATGTTTTTAATCTTTTAATATTTTTATGTGATTAAGTGTTTATATATTTTAACTGTTTCATAGTTTGATATGGCTTATTTTATTGTTGTGTTTATGTTGTGCCATTAAATTTTTGTTGGGGCTTGTAAGCTACTTTGAGTCCCCTTTAGGGTGAGAAAGGCGGGATATAAATCTATATAAATAAAAATGTAATGTTTGTTTGTGGGATTAACATAGCTCAAAAACCACTGGATGAATTGACACCAAATTTGGACACAATACACCTATCAGGCCAACGAATGACCATCACTCATAAAAACACTGATAAACACAGCAAAGGGGACTTAAAAAGCCAAAAAACAAAAAATACATTACAATGCATGCACAAAACCATATATACACAAACACACATATACACACATATATATACACACAAAGCACATATACACAGACTGGGCCACAGCAGCGCGTGGCAGGGGATGACTAGTAAATAAATAAATTCATGTAAAAAACAAAGTAAACCCAAGGCACACAATCCAGAACATCTTTAGCATTCCTATCAAATTTCACATTTTATTATTTTAAACAACACATAGACAAGCTCTTATACATGTTTACACTATTTATATCTTTTTCCTCATCACATGTGACTGCAGCAGTCAAGTGAGAAATACTTTTAAAACCCTGGAAACCTGTGGCCTTGCAAGGACCAGCCCTTGATCCAGTTTACCTGCATAAAGTTGTGTTTATTCACTACAGTAGGCCCTCCACCTTTACTGGGGTTAGGGGATCAGGACCCCCATGAAAGTGGGAAAACTGTAAATTTTAAAATAAAACCCTTTTTAACCCCATAGAAAAGCTCTCTATTAACCTCTTTAAGTCTTGGGCTACTCTGTGGGCAACTTCTGCTAGAATCTGACCATCAAACTGCACAGGAAGCTAAAGATTTCTAGAAAAATGTTCTCTTTGTGAATTTCTAGGTCCTCAAAGGTGGCTTTGTGGGTAACGTCTGGTAAAAGGTGACCATAGAGTCACCCAGGAGGATCAAAAGATTTATCATATTCATTAATGACACCAAATGTAGAGGGCCAACTATACTAATTTGTGATTTACCTCATAGTATAGTTTTTTTTACACATGATGCAACACTTTGGCTGAAGCTGAACAGATCAAGTGAACAAATGACTATTCTCATTGAATTTCATCAGACTAATTACTCTTAGATGTTTGGACAACAGGATGAAGTTATTTGGCATATAAAACACCATATACACGTCTGAGTAAGAAAAAGTGTATCCCCATCAGAGGACCACCATATACCTGGTTCTGTTTCTAGTAACCCAAAAGGGAGTAGGGCCAGTTGACAGATTATCTCCCACCTAAAACTCTGCTCTTGAACTTAAGGGGCAAGTTTACTTCTATAATGTTTTATCATAAGTATTATAATTATAATGTTGGCTAAAATGTGACCTCCATTCGGCCTCTGCACTGGTTTCCCACTAGGTTCCAAACGGTCTTCCCACAGCAATGCTTATTTCTATGGCTTTTTCAAGAATAAACGTATAGTGCTATTTGACACTCTCCTGGAAGATTATTCTGCCCTTAACAAAGAGCGCTCTGAGGATTCTGGATCAGAGACTCAGGCAGCAGAAGGACATGAAGAAGATGCCGAGGCAAAGGCGAAAGTCAAAGTAAGCATATCTTTTTCTTTATATGTAACTTTCCAGAGTTTTAATATGTTCTATTATTTTTGTTATAATCTGCTCATTGATAGGGATTCATTCTAATTCAGTTACCATTCATCTTGATATCTGTTTCCGTTTCCTGTCCCGTGCAGTCACAATCATGGAGGCAAGTGTCTCTGCCCATAAATTAATATATCATGTATTTCCCCCTTAATTCTAGAGTAAGAAGCAAGGCTGCAAAAATGAAGAAGTCTTGGCTGTGCTGGGCCATGAGTTGGGTCATTGGAAACTTGGCCACACGATTAAAAATATTGTCATAAGTCAGGTGAGCAGAAATCCTGTGAAATTTTCTGTTTTATGTGTGTAATGTTTGCTTAGAAAATACAGTGGCTGTAGTGTTCTGATAACACAGCTTCATCCTAGTATGAAAGCAGTGAAAAGGAAATATGAGTATGTCAGAGTTTGTAGATAATGATGTGGTGGTTGCTCAGAGTTGTGTGTCTGTATGTGCCTTCAAGTTGCCTGTTAATTTGTGGCGACCTCCTTAATTTCATAGGCTTTTCTTAGGCAAGAAAGACTCAGAGGTGGTTTTTACCAGTTCCTTCCTCTAAATAGTGTACAGTATCTAATTTTTGTTAGTGTGTTATCAAAGAGTTTCATGGCCGGAATCACTGGGCTGCTGTGAGTTTTCTGGGCTGTATGGCCATGTTCCAGAAGCATTCTCTTCTGACACTTTGCCCACATCTATAGCAGGCATCCTCAGAGGTTGAGGGGTCTGTTGGAAACTAGGCAAGTGAGGTTTATATATTTGTAGAATGTCCAGGGTGGGAGAAAGAACACTTGTCTGCTTGAGGCAAGTGTAAACGTTGCAATTGGCCACCTTCATTAGCATGTAATGGTCTTGCAGCTTCAAAGTCTCGCTGCTTCCTCCCTAGAGAAATCCTTTGGAGGGAGGTGTTAGCTGGCCCTGATTGATTCTTGTCTGGAATTCCCCTGCTTTTTGAGTGTTGCTCTTTATTTAAAATATATAAAAATACAGAACACCTCAAACTTTTAAATAAAATTAAAAGTCTTTACACACATGAAAGTTCTTGAGCAGGACAGCATAACTTTTGACCCATTACAAGTTTTGCAGTACAATTCCCACAAGATTGCTATGATCGGTGAAATTGAAAAATTCAAAACATCTGGAGTGTTAAGTTTCCTAGTCTCCTTATTTGAGTAGTTTGAAGGTACTTCTAAGACTATCATTACTTTAGTTAGCCTGCCAACAGGCTAAGAAGTCTTCAAAATGATAATATGCTCTTTTCCCTTCCTAGATGAACTCCTTCTTATGTTTCTTCTTATTTGCTGTGCTGATTGGCCGAAAAGAACTCTTTGCCGCCTTTGGATTCTATGATACACAGCCTACCCTGATAGGCCTTTTAATCATTTTTCAATTTATTTTCTCACCTTATAATGAGGTAATGTACGACTTAGAATTTCACATTTAAACAATCATGGTTGAAATACCAGTGGCATCTTCACTGGTTTATATCCTAAATTCCACGATGGTTCTTGAATTATTAATTTTTCAAAATAAATGGTTGCCGAATTCCTACCTTGAAAGATAAATGGGTTCAGTAGAACTAGCCAGTTTGTGAGATACCATGTTGCAACAGACTAACACAATTCCCCCTGGGAATTAATATAAATCTAGCAATATTTTCTGTAGTTGGAACTGGACTTAGCCATTTTTGCACAGAAGAATGAATTTGGGGAGATGTTGACTTTCCTTTTCCTTCCAACCAACAAAACCCCTGTGAAAATTTCCCAAAGGAAAGTTTGAGTAGGAAGAAGAGTTAGGTGAAGGCACCATATATGAGTGGGATGGGTTTCTATGTCTAGTTTTGACAAACCTGCGCATTGCAAACTTTCCAACTGCTCTGTAAAATGCCTCAGTTGTTGGGCAAGCATTTTAGGCATGTGGGTAAGATCCTGAGGGTTGGTTGTAGGAAGAGGAAGTACAGTCAGTTCCACCCACTTAGAATCATAGAGTTGAAAGAAACCACAAGAACCAACTTGCCCAACCCCTTGCCATGTAGGAACACATAATCAAAGCACTCCTGACAGATGACCTTCCAACTTCTGTTTAAAAAATCCAGAGAAGGGGACTCCACCACATGATGAGGCAGCATATTCCAATGTCATACAGCGCTTACCATCAGAAAGTTTTTTTCGTTAGTAAGGGCCCCCTGGTGATGCAGCGGATTAAACTATTGAGCTGTTGAACTTGCTGACTGAAAGGTTGGTGGCTCAAATCCAGGGAGTGGTCTCCTGCTTTTAGGCCCAGTTTCTGCCAACCTAGCATTTTGAAAACATGCAAATGTGAGTCGGTGAATAGGTACCGATTCTGTAGGAAGGCAACGGTGCTCCATGCAGTCATGCTGGCCACATGACCTTGGAGATGTCTACGGACAACGTCGGCTTTTCAGCTTAGAAATGGAGATGAGTACCACCACCCAGAGTTGGACATGAGTAGACTTAATGTCAGGGGAAACCTTTACCTTTGCGGAAAAAACTGAGCTGTTTGATAGTAGAATATGCTGCTGTAACAGCAACCCCAACTGTTACAGAACTGTCCAATTCTAATTTCCAAAGACTTAAGCCCATTTACAAAGATGCAAATCACCTACAGGATTCTGGCATTTAAAAATCATTATGTTTATGCATTAAAGCTAAACATTTTAATTTTTTTTAGAAAAATGACAAAATGAATTAGAAAAGAGCATTGCTATCCCTTATGTAAATTTTTTAGCAGAAATCAGTTGGTGGATACAAAGCTATTTAAATGAAAAGATCTTTGCCTTCTGGAAGACATAGATAAGAGAGATGTGAGCTTATGGGTTCCATAGTCAGAAGCCAACCTCAAAGGCTCCCTCTCATGCCCTTGTCAAACATGAGGGCCAAGAGAAAAGCTCAGGTAGATTTGTCTGGGAAAATAATTCTATGAGATAGTTTACAATCAAGCCAGCACTTAGAATGGTGTTTGGGAATGGACCATTTGCCAGTTATTTTAGTGTAGAGTTCATTCATCCTCTGAAACCAAGGAGATGAGTGCTTTGGCAATGGTTTCACTTAGGACAGTGGTTATCAACCTGTGGATCCCCAGATGTTTTGGCCTTCAACTCCCAGAAATCCTAATAGCTGGTGAACTGGCTGGGATTTTTGGAAGTTGTAGGTCAAAACATCTGGGAACCCACAGGGTGGGAACCAATGACATAGGAAGTTGTTTGTATCATTGGTTCTCAGCCTTTGGTCCTCTAGATGTTTGGACATCTGCTTCCATGGTCCATGGCCATTAATTATGCCGGTTGGGGACTTTGGGATTTGAAATCCAAAACTACCTGGACACCCAAAGCTTGAGAATCCTTGGTTTTGGAGGCTTCTGAAATGAGTTCTGAGATGTTCAGTAATGTTTCTTTTCTTTCTATACAGGTCCTCTCCTTTTGTTTAACTGTATTAAGTAGGCGATTTGAATTTCAAGCTGATGCCTTTGCCAAGGATCTTGGAAAGGCCAAAGACTTGTATTCTGCGCTGATCAAGCTGAACAAAGATAATCTTGGATTCCCTGTTTCAGACTGGCTGTTTTCAATGTGGCATTATTCTCATCCTCCACTGCTAGAAAGACTTCAAGCGTTGAAGGAATCTAAGCAAGATTGAAACTGTAGGCTCTATGAAAGACGTTCCATCCCAAAATCAAGTTCCATTTTTTAAAAAGTAATATACGCATTCCATTCCTGAGCACATCATTCTCCAAACAGACAAGCTTGTTTCACCTCATTAGAAAATAGCTGCCAAAAATCCTGTTTTCAACTACAAGAATTTGGATTCTAAAGAGGAATACCTTGTGGGGATTGCTGGGGAAGAATGTAATGTGTAACATTATCTTAAATCACAATACAGCTGGGGGAGAAAGTAAATTGTTGAAACCTGAAGTATTCATGCTTGAATTTGTTGAAATGTGACTTTTGTACCTTTTAAGCACTGTGTCTGGGTGTTCTTTTACAGTTACCTTCTAGCTTTCCTACCTCATCCATGTGTGCGTGGGGTGGGGGGATGAAACTAGAACATCGCCCCCTTGACCATTGGGATTCAAACATTTTAACCAGGCTTCTTCAGATTGGTGCCTTCCAGATGTTTTGGACTAAACATCTCATTAACCCTGGCCATTGTGGGGCACAGTGTAGTCCAACAGTTGGGGAGCACCATTTGAGGAAAGCTGAAGTAAATTAAATACTGTCTGGACTGAAAGTGTGAGCTTCTTCCTTTTGGGGTCAGGTTCATGTCTGCAGTGAATGAAAACAAAAGCTTTTTACAGAGACGAATAAAGCCATCTTTCTCTGAATTCAGGATTGATAATAAATTGCAGCTGACAAACAGCCTTCTGTGTGTGTGTTACATATATTATGTTTATGACAGTAATCATTTGCAACCTGTTCTAAGCAGCAGGGCTTGGGAACGTATAACTGTAACTTCAGATAATATGCTTCACAAGGATAAAAGGACTACACATAGAAGATATTGAAATCTAAAAGCACGTGCACCATTTCAACAGAAAGGAGATAATAATTCAAATGAACAAAATCTGACTAGCAGTATTTAAAAAACCTCTAAAATCAAAACAGTAAATAAAGAGCAACACTCAAAAACACAGGATTTCCAGACAAGAAACAATTAGGGCTAGCTAATCACCTCCCAACAATAGATTCCCCTAGGCAGTAAACAGCCAGAATTTGAAGCTGCTAGACCATAAATGCTAATCAATGTGATCAACTGCAGCATTCACACTTGCCTCAAACAGACAAGTTCTTTTGCCATCCCTGGATATTCCACAGATATATAAACCCCACTTGCCTAGTTTCCTACTGACCTCACCACCTCTGAGAATGCCTGCCATAGATGCAGGCGAAACTTCAGGAAAGAATGCTTCTGGAACATGGTCATAGAGCCCAGAAAACTCACAGCCCAATAAAAGTACCATTGGCCTGATTTAAATAAACAGGACAGTTGTCATATTCTGTCCTCAAAGATGGTGCTGTGTCATCTTTTTCTGTTTTTAAAGAAACAGGACTATAAGGGTTTGGTTTTTAGTACTTGTTCCTCCCTGTCTGCAATCCTAGCAAAGGCAGTTATAAACCATTCTACATTATTCTCAAGCCTCCCTTGCAGCTGGCTTCTATATGGCTATGTGGCCATTTGGCATATTTTACCTTTCAGAGGGAAAGAGTACTTGCTTAGGGGGTGAACAAAGTTACACAGTTTGCTGGTCATTTCATGCCCTTTACTTGAATTTCCAGCTTCTTTTTAAAAAACTTTTTTTAAGTAAGCAGTTTGCTCACCAAGAATAAAGGTGTGATGATAACTACACATAGGTACATTTTCCATCCTTATTTTTTTTAAAAAAATAGAAAGCTGTTTCACTTCATTGTTCTGTATTTCTTATCATAATAATACTTTATTTGTAACCCACCCTATCTCCCCAGGTTGTTTCCAGAAGAGAAGCCACCCACAGTCAATGCCAAAGTGAACAGCAAAACAAATCAAACCAACAAATAAATTGCATCAATATAAACTTAAAAACTTAAATGATAACCAAAAATCAGTTAAAAACACATGGACCTCATCGTACACATTTACATCCAGGATATAAATAAATTAAAATGCAATTGAAGTATTGGATGATGGTATACAACAGCCAAACAGCACAAAAGTGAAATTCCAGTGTCTGATTGAAAATATGTTGAGTTGTTCTAATCATCCTCCTCTCCATAAGCTAAAGTGCAAAAGTAGGTCTTCAAAGGTTTTTTAAAGGAGAGGAGGGAGAGGGCATTTTTACTTCTTCGGGGAGGGAGTTCCAGAGGCGGGGAGTGATCACAGAGAAGGCCTCTCTTCCACCAGCCGCGCTTGAGATGGGGGTGGGATCGAGAGCAGGGCTTCCTCTGCGGACCACCATGCCCATGTTGGTTTGTATGTGAAGATGTGGTCGGTTAAATAGCCTCGACCCACCGTTTAGGCCAGGGCTTTATAGGTAATAACCAGCATTTTGTATTTAGCCTGGAAGCAGACTGGCAGCCAGTAGAGTTGCCGCAGCAGGGGAAAATGATGCTCCAGTTAGTAACCTAGCTGCCACTCTCTGAAGCTTCCAAACTATTTTCAAAGGAAGCCCCACGAAGCAAGTGTTGCAGTAGGCCAGACGGGATGTAATTAAGGCCTGGACTACCATGGCCAAATCTGGCATCTGAATGTACAGGCACAGCTGGCGTACAAGTTTTTAATTGCGAAGGTACTCTTGGCCACTGCCGACACCTGAGGTTCCAGGGACAGCGATGAGTCCAGGATCACCCCAAAGCTGCAAACTTGCATCTTCAGGGGGGGATGTAACCCCATCCAACACAGGCTGTAACCCTATACCCTGATCTGCCTTCCAACCAGGCATGTAGCCGGTGGGGGCTTGAGGGGCTTCAGCCCCCCCCCCCCCCAAAATTCTCATGGTGGTTCGCGAAAAGGCCTTACTGATGCATTATTTAAACTGTTATGTTTATTCATATCATGATCTGATCACATACTCAATATATCCCATATGCATGGGGGTATTGGGGTAACGATACAAAAGGTTTGCTAGGGTAGACCCTCTTTCACTCAGACTCAGCCCCCCCCCCCAAATCGAAATCCTGGCTACGGGCCTGCTTCCAACTGACCAGGAGTACCTCTGTCTTGTCTGGATTTAATTTCAACTTGCCACCTGTGGAGCAAGACTACAGCTGAATTATGCAATGTTAATTTCAGTACTTTCTACTTAAAAGGGTCAAGTTATGGGAATAGCCATGAAAGGTCACTGCCAGTAGAAACAATACGGATGCCCACATGCAGGAGTGTTTTTATATCTGCAATGTGAATGGGAGACAGTATATTCATCAAGGAAGAATATTGTCAGTGCATCATCATTTGGAAAGCTCTGGTTTAAAGACAAATACCATTCCTGGGGATGCTTTGCACAAGCACCTTATCATTCAATTCAAGAGGTAGAATCTACATGCCTGGGATAGCTGCTTGCCTACATTCTCCCTTCTCCAGCTCGGAGAAGGCTTACTTAACTAGCTGTGAGGAATGGTGGGAGTTGAAGCCCAAAATACTGGAGGGCCCAAGTTGGCCCATGTCAACTTGGGTGTTCCGACCTGGCTGTTCCAATGTGCCTTCCCAGATTAGGAAATCTCCAATACCAAGTCCCATAAGCACTTTATTAGAACTAAGATTGCTGCACATTGCACTCTGCACTTGCCCTATAAGCCTTATATACCACCTGTCACATCAGCACTTTTAATCCTGTACCCATTACTCTGGCCCGGCCCAGTTCTATTGTGTTTTAGTGTATTGTTTATTGCTTGTTGTTTATATTGCTTTAATTGTTTTAATTTGCCTTAGGTTTTGTATTGTTATATTGTGTGTTGAGGCCTTGGCCTTTGTAAGCCGCATCGAGTCCTTCGGGAGATGCTAGCGGGGTACAAATAAAGTTTAATAATAATAATAATAATGCCTGGGATAGCAGCTTGCCTACATTCTCCCTTCTCCAGCTCGGAGAAGGCCTACTTAAGTAGCTGAGAGGAAAAAAGGAAGGGGCCTGAGGCTGTTAGGAATGATGGGAGTTAGAGTCCAAAGCACCTGGAGGGAAGGACCAAGTTGGCCCATGCCTAGTGTAGACTCATAGAATCCAGTTCAAAGCAGATAATCTGGGATTGGATCCTGGGCGACAGGGCAGTGTATTTCCCGCCTCAGTTAACTTTAAAGCAGGGACCACCTCGCCTGCGTCATTTCCTGCCTTTTGGTGGGCCAAGGAAGGTGCAGCTGCTTCGCAGACTGTGTTGGGTTCCTCTCTTGAAGTGGGGCGGGCAATCTTTGGCTTAAACTCCCCCCGCGGGGCCTTCCGGGAGACGTAGCCCCAAAGCCCTGAAGAGGAGCCGCATGAGGCAAAGCACCTTCCTCCTCGCGGAAGGAGAAAGGAAGCGGACTGACTCCCCGGAGGCGACAGAAACGGCGTTTCGTAATGACGCTCTTTCGGCTTTTGAGAAGCTACGGTGTCCCCCGAAGGACAAAACAATTCACTCAGGGATGACAAGAGCCGAGCCGAGAGAGGGGAATGCTGCAGAGGGGAGGGGTTTCCGGCGCGTCCGGCTCTCGGCGCGCATGCGCGGAGTGGCCTTTGTCCCACGGAGTGAACTGAGGCGATGCTGTCGGCGAGCAAGAAGGTGGCGGCGGTGGTGGAGGCGGCCCCGGCGGGGGTAGGCGGCGGAGATGGCTCCCCCGAGGCCCCCCTCGCGGTCCCCGTGGCGGCGCCTCTTCCTGCCCCACCTCAGGCCGCTCCAGGCTCCCTGGGCGGCACGGAGGCCTCGGAACGAGCGCCCCGCAAAAAAGAGCCTGCCCGGGCCTCGCCGCCTGGGGCCCTCTCTGAAGTAGCGCCCGCCGGGCCTGCCACAGGAGCTGGGCCTGGCCTGGGCCCGGAGAGCGCCGGCATCGCCGAGACCCCTGAAGGCCGCCGGACCAGTCGCCGGAAACGGGCCAAGGTTTTATTGATTTATTAGCTGTACCCGCCACGCGTTGCTGTGGCCAGTCTTCCCTCCATTCTTTCTCTTCTTCCTTCCTTCCCTCCCTCTTTCCTTCCTTCCTCTTCTACCTCTTTCCTTCCTCCCCCCCCCCCTTTTCTTTCTCTCTTTTCTTCTCGACCTATTCTTGGACTGTAACTCCCAGCAGTCCTCCTGCTAGCTATTTATTTATTTATTTAGAACTTTTATAACCCGGTCTTCTCGACCTCCGAAGAGGGACTCAGGCCGGTTCACAACAAGAGATTCATAAACAATAGTATAAAACATCACACCTCATAATACACTAATACATAAAATACATTTAAAATACAAACATATAATTACATAAGGCCAAGTCGTCAGAATGAAATCACAATTCATTACCATCCGCCCGTGTGGTCAAGAGTTATTGACTCACTCATCAAACGCTAAATTCCAAAGCCAAGTTTTCACCAGCTTTCTAAAAGTCAGGAGAGAAGGGGCAGTTCTAATCTCCAGAGCCGAGGGGCCACCACCGAGAAGGCCCTGTCCCTCGTCCCCACCAGACGCGATTGCGAGGGTGGTGGGACTGAGAGCAGGGCCCCTCCAGAAGATCTTAACAACCTTGATGGTTCATAGGGGAGAATCCGTTCAGACAGGTAAACTGGGCCGGAGTCGTTTAGGGATTTATAGGTCAACACCAGCACTTTGAATTGTGCTCAGAAGCTAATTGGCAGCCAGTGGAGCTGGCGCAACAGAGGAGTAGTATGCTCCCTGTACCCCGCTCCTGTTAGTAATCTGGCTGCCGCTCATTGGACTAATTG